TACACTGCTGGTGGGACTGCAAATTAGTGCAACCTCTGTGGAAAAGAATCTGGAGATATCTAAAAGAACTACAAGTAGAACTATCATTTGATCCAGCAATAACACTATTAGGCATCTACCCAAAGGAAGAAAAGTCATTTTTTGTTCTGCTCTTGAATGTTTATGGGCAGCATACTTCACTATAGAAAGGATGTGGAAACAACCCAAGTGCCCGTCAATCCATGAGTGGATTAATAAAATATGGTATATGTATACAATGGAATACTACTCAATTATAAAAAACAATGGTGATCTAGCACCTCTTATATTCTCTTGGATAGAGCTTGAGCCCATCCTCCAAGTGAGGTATCACAAGAATGGAAGAATAGGCACCACATGTACTCACCATCAAACTGGCACTGACTGATCAACTCTAAGGTGCTCACACAATAGTAATATTCTTTGAGGGTAGGGGGATTGGAGGTGGGTAAACTCACAACTGATGGATGTGGTGAGTGTTGCAGGGGAGGAAGGGCACATCTCAAATCATGGTTTGGATGTGGCAAAGTCATAACCTGTAACCAAAATGTTTTGTACCCCCATACTTTCTTGAAATAAAAAAAATTTAAAATAAATAAAAACTATGTAAATATTTTTGTATCATTTAAAATGCATGTAGATATTTACAGATCTGAATTTCTAGAGTAAGATTATTCTTTGAACAGTAAAATTTACAAGAATTTTATATTTGGCTATTATTTTATACTATGTAAGGATTATTTGTAACTGCTGTATTTGCCTTTTAGTCATCACATTGAATTATTTTAATAAGATTCTTTAAATAAGAGTGTTAACCAAAAGCAGTGACTGTAATATTCATTTATATTTATTATTAATTTCTCAAATGGAAAAGTAATTTTAAGCAGGTACTCATTGTTACAATTTACTGAAAAATTAATTTTAAAAAATATTAAAGGAAAAAAAAATAACTCCCAATTCTCCCTCCCTCAGCCCCTGGCAACCAGCATTTTACTTTCTTCTCTATAATTTTGACTACTCTAAGTACCTTATATAAGAAGAATCATACAGTATTTATCTTTTATTCACTGGCTTATTTTACTTAGAATAATGTCCTTAAGGTTCATCCATGTTATAGCATATATCAGAATTTCTTTCCATCTAAAGGCTGAATATTCCATTTTATACATGTATACATACATTTTGCTTATCCATTCACCCATCAATGGACACTTGGGTTACTTCCACATTTTAGCTATTATGAATAATTCTGCTATGAATATGGGTATATAAATATCTCTTTCAGACCCTGCTTCCAAATATTTTAAGTATATACCCAGAGCAGAATTGCTGGATCATATGATAATTTTTAATTTTTTGAGAAACTGCCATATTGTTTTCCACAGTTGGCTTTATCATTTCACATTCTCATCAACAGTGCACAAGGGTTCTAATTTGTCTACATCCTTGCCGACGTGTTATTTTCTGATTTTTAAAAATATTAACCATCCTAATGGGTGTGAGGTGGTATCTCATAGAATTAGTTTTCATTTCCACAATGATTAATGATGTTGAGCATCTTTTTGTGTGCTTAATTACCATTTGTGTATCTATTCAAATGTGTCTATGCAAATCCTTTGCCCATTATTGAATCAGTTGTTTGCTTTTTTGTTGTTGAGCTGTAAAAGTTCTTTATATATTCTGGATATTAAACTTTTATCAGGCCAGGTGTGGTGGCTCAGGCCTGTAATCCTAGCACTTTGGGAGGCCAAGGCAGGAGGATCACTTGAGCCTAGGAGTTCAAGACCAGCCTGAACCAACATAGCAAGACCCATCTCTACAAAAAATAGAAAAATTAGCCAGGCTGTTGGTACGTGCCTGTAGTTCCAGCTATTTGGGGGCTAAAGCAGGAGGATTGCTTGAGCTCAGGAGTTTGTGGTTGCAGTGAGCTATGATGACACCACTGCACTCTAGCCTGGGCAACAGAGTTAGACCCAGTCTCAAAAATAAGAAGAATAAAAAACTCTTATCAGAGTTACGATTTGCAAATATTTTCTCCCATTCTGTGGGTTGCCTTTTTACTATGTTGATCATGTCTTTTGATGCACAAAATTTGTCATGAAGTCTACTTTGTCTTTTTCTTTTGTTGCCTGTGTCTTTGGTGTCATATCTAAAAAATCATTGCCAAATCTAGTGTTGTGAAACTTTTTCCCTATGTTTTCTTCTAGGAGTATTATAGTTTTAGATCTTACATTTATACCTTTGATCCATTTTGTGTTAATTGTTATATATGGGATTAAGGGTCCAACTTCATTCTTTTGCATGTGGATATCCAGTTTTCCCAGAACCATTTGTTGAAAACACTGTCCTTTCTCTCATTGAATGGTTTTGCCACCCTTGCTGAAAATCATTTGACTGTATATGGGAGCATTTATTTCTGGGTGCTCTATTCTATTCCATTGGTCTACACGTCTGTCTTTATGTCAGTACCACAACTTTGATTACTTTGTAGCTTTGTGGTAAGTTTTGAAATCAGCAAGTTTTAAGTCCTCCAGCTTTGTTCCTTTTCAGAATTGCGTTGGCTATTTGGGGTCCCTTCATACCCTATGTGACTTTTAGGATGGGTTTTTCTATTTCTGCAAAAAATGTCATTGGGACTTCAATAGGGATTGCATTAAATCTGTAGATCACTTTGAGTAGTATTGACATCTTAATAGTATTTACTTTTTAAATCTATAAACATGTCTTTCCATTTATATCTTATTTTCTTTCAGAAATGATTTTGTAGTTTTCATTATACAAGTCTTTCAGCTTGGTTAATTGCTAAGTGTTTTAGTTTTTTCCTTTTGATGCTTTTGTAAATGAAATTATTTTCTTAATTTCCTTTTAGGATTGTCTATTGTTAGTGTATGGAAATGCAACTGATTTTTACATGTTGACTTTTATATTCTGCTACTTTGCTAAATTCCTTTATTAGTTTTAATAGGTGTTTTTATTTTAGACTTTTCTACATATAAGATTGTCATCTTTTTAAAAAATGTCATCTTTAAACAGAGATAATTTTTGTTTTTCTTACCAATTTGGATGTTGTTTATTTTTCTTGCTTACTCTGGGTAGGATTTCCAGTATTATGTTGAATAGGAGTGGAAAAAGCAGGCATCCTTGCCTTGTTCTTGAAGTTTTCAGTCTTTCACCATTGAGTATGATGTTCATTGTGGGTGTTTCTTATATTGCTTTTATTATGTTGAAATAGTGTTATGGACTCAATGTTTGTATCCCACCAAAATTCATAGAAGATTTCAATATATATTAACAAAACTTTTCGTAGGCAGTCAAGGGAATTCTTTGTTCTCTGTGCTCAGACTTGAACTTAAAGAGTGAAGTTATCTAAGAGCTATTATGGTTGAGACCAGTTAACCAATGACCTCTGCTGCAGGGAGGTGGCATCTCTAGTAAACAAAAACTGAAATTGAGTAGCCCTATTTTGTACATAAGGTTATTTATGTTATTCTATGTTTTTAATATATGTTTTCTCTCCTATTAGAAAAGTACTGTTACATACTCATCCTAAACCATTTATAATATTTCAGTTTAAGTTGTGCTGATAAAGGATTCAAATTTACAGTTTTTCCTCAGCTGTGCAACAAAGTATTAAGGAAGGAGTCGTCACATTTAAAGGTGAAATGGTAGTGAGGGACTCCAAGGAATAGGGAAGCATAATCCATTCATTCTTCCCAACAGTAGAATCTGCTCCAAGTATCAATTTGAGAGGTTCTAGGGTTATTCAGTTAAGAGTAGCACATATTTCAGTCACATGAGGACTTTTTCAAACTGCAAGCTGAAAATACAAAACTCATAACAATGTTGAGTGTCAACAATGATTTTTCAATTTAAGTGATGCTAAACTGTGTATAATTGGTAAAGGATTCAAGTTGACACTCCTTACACAGGAAATTTCTCACTACACTCATTTATTCATCATTTGCTGAATACAAATGAACTTCCAGTTAGTAGTCAAGAGTTGACAATCCAGTTGATAGGACACAACATATAATCATGAAATTTAAACAGCAAAGATAGCATTCAAAGACTAAATGAGCAATACTCCAAAAATTGTATTAGAGTTAGAATAAAGCAAAGAACATTCTGACCTGAAATAATGAGAAAAAGTTTTGTAGAGATAGTACTTTTTTTTTTTTTTTTGAGACAGTCTTGCTCTGTTGCCCCAGCTAGAGTGTAGTGGTGTTATCATAGCTCACTGCAAACTCAAAAAACTCTTGGGCTCAAATGATTCTCCTGCTTCAGCCTCCCGAGTAGCTGGGACTACAGTGTGTGCCACCATGCCCATCTAATTTTCCTATTTTTTGTAGAGACAGGGCCTTGCTCTTGTTTAGGCTGGTCTGGAACTCCTAGCCTCAAGCAACCCTCCTGTCTTTATCTCCAGAGTGCTAGGATTATAGGTGTGAGCCTCCACACCTGGCCAGAGATGGGACTTTTGAGCTAGGATGTGAAGAATGGATAGGATTTGGAAAAACATGATAAAGAATGAGCTAAATTGGAAAAGCCAGAATACAAAAAAAAAGAGCAGGGTTGTCTACGGCCATATCACCCTGAATGTGCCTGATCTTGGAAGCTAAGCAGAGTTGGGCCTGGTTAGTACTTGGATGGTAAAGAGGATGCTTCTTTTCCCCCATCCTTTGAAATTCCCTGATTAACCACAGCTGCTCTTTGTCCTTAACTCTTAAGATTTTCTCCTTTGATTGGGATGGGTAGCGTATATTAGAATATACTCCACGGCCCTTTAATAATAGTTTGTGAATGATTAATGTTCATGGAAATAAATTCACAGATAAACAATTAAGATTTTCCAGCACATATTCTGGTTTGTAAAACAGGAAACTGAATAAATGTAATTGGCATACACATTAAACCTGGTGAGAAATTCTTTGATTTTTCCAAAGACATATCCTTCTGTTCAAACATAAAATGAAGTCTTGTCATTAGAAAACAAAGCTTTTAACAAAAAACAATATGTTAATTTGGGACTTTTTGTATGGCAATATGTTCCTCAGAAGAATTCACAGAGATTCTTTAAGGTTGGCTGGTTTCATCTATTAATATTTTCTTCAGGTTGACAAAGACAGCTCTAAGTGCGCTCAGTGATATTTAACCACATCCTCCTCACTCAGACATATAACTAAGGAATGACGGGTTTATTTTCACCAGAAGCATCTAGTTAACAACGCCCGGGTTCAAGTCCCCCAAGAGCCCCACATCTGATGTGCTGTACTTTTGGGGCTGGGGACATTAGCCGAATGAGCCTTGGGCCCTGTAGTCCCGCGGATGTTCTCACGTGGCCTCGGCTGCCTGGGCGGTAGGCGGCCTCGAACTCGCGGACGGCAACGCGCCCGCCAAGCCCTCAGGCTGCAAAGGTCAGTGCGGCCCAGACCTCGCCTTCAAGGGCGCCCCGCGCCGGGCTGGCGCTCGGCGATGGCTCGCGCCCCACCCTACTCATCCCCTGTCGCTGTCCCAACTCCCGCGGCTTAGCGAGCAGGCGGTGGTGGGCGCAGCCGAAGCCACGGCCCTCAGCTGCAAGCCGAGGGAACCTGACTTCTGCTCGGCCCGGGGCAGACCCAACCATACGTGGACACGGCGCCGGGCGCGCTAGCCTCCCTGCGTCCTAACCGCCGCTCCCCAGGCACACGCCGCCGTCAAAGGCGGCTCTCCGGCCCTCTCGCGAGAGCGCGCCTGTGGCACCTCCTTCCTTTCGGCTGTTTTCTCTCCCCGCCCCCAGAGCGGCTGCGCGGCTTCCTCCAGAGGGCGGGAACCTTGGACGTGGCGGGGCCGAGTCAGCCTGGGTGCCGGGCCTGGGGCCTGCCGCTCAGCCGCCCGGCAGGCTGGCCGTCCCCGCCGCTGTCAGGCCCCGGCCGGCCCCGCGTCTTCCCAGGTAGACGGGCGCCGGCGCGAGTGACGGCGAGCGTGGGGCTGCAGGCGGGCGGAGGGTCGGCGGGTGGGCGCCACACCTGTGCGGGGCGGGGGCGAGAAGGTGCGCACGCGCGCTGCCCGGCGGGCGGGCGGTGGGGGCTCCTGGGGCGTTGCGCAGCCGAAGTGGCGAGCTGCGCGCACTGGCTCGCGGTGGCGTAATCCTCATCCTTTCTGCGTCTCCAGTCCTCCGCCTCAGCTTGGGGCGGGTCCGGAGAATGGCTTCGGAGATGGAGTCGTCGCTCGAGGCGAGCTTCTCGTCCAGCGGTGCGGCGTCTGGCACACCGGGCTTCCTGCCTCCGGCCCGCTCGCGCATCTTCAAGATAATCGTGATCGGCGACTCCAATGTGGGCAAGACGTGCCTGACCTACCGCTTCTGCGCTGGCCGCTTTCCCGACCGCACCGAGGCCACGATCGGGGTGGATTTCCGAGAACGAGCAGTGGAGATTGATGGGGAGCGCATCAAGGTGAGCGGACGGGGGCTGTCAGTGAGGATGGACTCCCGGGATGACAAGTGTCTCAATCCTGCTGTTGGCTATCATAGGCTGGGCTGTCGCTCCATTTTTCCTCACGCTGATGTGGAGATTGGAGTTGGGGATTGGAAGGATTTGTATACGGCAAACTTCTAAGGCAGTGTTTCTCAAACTTTAATGTGCATGCGATTTACCTGGGAATCTTGTTTTTAAAAATACAGATTATGATTTGGTAAAGCTCCCAGATGATGATGCAGATGCTGCTAGCCCATGGACCACAGTTTGAGTAGCGAGAGTGTAGTCCACTGACTCACTGGCTGTGTCTGTCTCATGTGCTGGGAGTCAGTGAAATATGACTGAAGGAAAAACAGTGGAATTTCTCAAGCATGGAAAATGCATTTAATCAATATTTATTACACATTCATTGGAGGACTGCCCTAGGTATTGTGGAAGTAAAGCCCATTGCCTTTGAGGAAGTACTTAGGTATTCTCTTGCATACAGTTTTGCTGTTGTAGTTTCTGTATGACATTGACTTGCTTAGAAAAATCTTTTTTCTTGCAGAAAGATTCTATATATGATAGTTCATACTTGGGTTGCCAAAGGCACATCTCTTTCTTGATGCCGCCTCAGACCCTCTCCCAATTCTTTCTTCCCTTTACATCATTATTGGTGGCTCTTGAGGCTGGGGACACTGAGCAATAGTGGAGAAGGTAGTAGGCTCCAGGCCAGGGCTGGGTTCTAAGACATTCAAATGGGGACACTGGAGAATGAGGATCAATGACAAGGCTGAGGCCTACTGATGGTATAAATCTTAGATACACTTCTTCATTGCAAGCCACCACTAAATGCCACCTGCTGATACCGCCCTATAACAACATGTGGACCCTAGGAACTGCCCAGTCTTCCTTATACTACTGCTTTTACTTCTTTGCTTTAAATTAGTATTCATCTTTACTTCAGTCCCTGGGTAGGGTAAGGGGTGGAGGGACTGGTTTACTGTAGTCATTCCTACTCTTGTATCTTTGAAGCAGGAACAGTGTATCTCTCAGTTCCCTAATCATTGCTCTCCACCCCAAGGGGTTTTAATGCTAATGATGGTAAAGGAGAAATAAAATGAGTTAAAAGAAAACCCTTCTATAGGTGCATTTACCTTTTAATATTTCAGTTTACTATTTCATTGTCCCATAGAGGCTCCTCATGGTGGTCCTTTGGGTACACTGTATTAGGGAGTTAAGAAAGATTTGTATACTTTGCAGAAGAAAAGATAGAATAAAAAGAGGCTGAACATTTTTCACCAGAATTAGGTTAGTCCCAGAAGCCTGTGGGGAAGGAAAATGATGGGGCTTTTGAAGTTTGAGGGGGATTTTAGTTTGGGAGAAGCAGTTCTGGAAGAAAGTGCTTGGGTTTTGGAGCCTAGCTAACCTAAGTTCAAATCTGAATCCATGAAAAAGTAAGAACAGGCTGTGTGTCCTTAGTAGGGTGACCAGCTTTGCCTGAGAACTATTTAGGTTTTAAAATTGGAAGTCTCATATCTCAGTAAGCCCCTCAGTCTTGGGCAATCTGAGATAGTTGGTCACCCTGGCCCTTAGGCAGATTCCTTAACCTCTAGGAGTCTGTTTTCTCTTCTGAAAAATCGGGATCATGATACCTTATCAGGCTGGTGTGAAGATTATATGAGAACATATGTAAAGCACCTGGTTCATAATTGGTGCCCTTGCAAAGATTGTCTTTCCTGACAGCTTAACATTATTTGCCTCTTTGGCACCATTAGTTCTGCAGTTGTGCACCCAAAGAAGAAAGCAGAGATAAAGGACGGTATAGGTAGAGAGCTGAAAGGGAGAGAAATTAAAAAAAAAAAAAAAATGGAAGCAGGAAATTTGAAAAAAAGGTAGAATGGGGGCGGGAGAGGAGTTGGGATTTGAGGGCTCTTGACCTGTTCCTGGGTTGCCATTTATACTTAAATATCACAGACGACTCCAGTACAAATTTAAAAGCCTACTAACATTGAAAAAATACAAAGCGTCACATCCTCTCTAGACATAAAAAAAGAAAAAAATAAAAATATAAAAAAAAAAAAAAAGAAAAAATACAAAGCGTATGCATTGTGTCAAGTAGAATATTTAACTACTGGGGTGAGAGCTGGCCATGACAAGCCAGAACCACAGGTGTGAGGAATTTGGGAGCACAGAGTTGATCCTTCTGGGTGTGAAGAGTGAGGAGAAAACATTTTTTCTGGGATTATTTCTCCTGAGCTTCAGCTTAACCTGTTATATTGATCGAGACCTGGACACTGAGATTCTTTTTCTTCTAAGATCCTAGCTATTGACTTGTGCCACCAACTCTAAGACTTGAGGGAGATTTTTTTTTTTATTGTGGTTGAAATGACTACAGAAATGTTCTGAGATTTCTATAGTAGAAAAAGATATTCATCTTTGTGGGGATTTCAAAAAAAAAAAAAAAAAAAAAAAAAAAGAAAAAGATATAGCTATGCTGGAAATGAAAAAAACCCACAAAACGTAATTTTTAAAATATACCTTTTTAAAAAACTGACAAGTGATATAAAGAGCTTGATTCTATGTGCTGCTGCTTTTTTGTTAACCTGTAATACATCTTAAGTGTTCCTGAAATGCTCATATTGTGTTCATATATCTTTGGGAAATTATGAGGCTGATTTATGTATTTTATTTTTTATTTTTCTTTTTGAGACAAAGTCTTGTTCTGCTGCCCGGGCTGGAGTGCTGTGGCGTCAGCCTAGCTCACAGCAACCTCAAACTCCTAGGCTCAAGCAATCCTTCTGCCTCAGCGTCCTGAGTAGCTGGGACTACTGGCATGCGCCACCATGCCTGGCTAATTTTTTCCGTATATTTTTAGTTGTCTGACTAATTTCCTTCTATTTTTAGTAGAGACGGGGTCTTACTCTTGCTCAGGCTGGTCTCAAACTCCTGACCTCGAGCGATCCTCCTGCCTCGGCCTTCCAGAATGCTAGGATTACAGGCGTGAGCCACCACGTCCAGCCATGAGCCTGATTTAAAAGGACATTTTTTCCAGATTTTTCGTCTGAAAGCTGGAAAGTTCTGTTACTTTACTAGTAAAATGACATTGTAGACATTATTTGTTTGATAAAAATGAGATATTGTCTTAAATGTTTTGATAATTATAGACTGGAAAATTTTCAGAGAGCATGACTTAAACTAGTGCCCTTTCAGAATCAGTTAAAATGTTTTATGAAATGTAAGAAAGTCTATATATGCTAATCTATTCCTAAGCACTACATATGTATAATTGAAAAGGAAAATCTTGTTTGCAAATTTTGGAAGTTGAATAAAATTATAAAATCAATTCCTTAAATAGAAATACATTTGACTTTTAAATTGAAACTCCCAACTCTGATCCTTATGCTTCTTCCTTGTGCATGTGTCCCCTTTGTGACCAGCTGTATTCCTTTCACACAGTCATTTTACAATGGCAGATACACCAATGGAGTCATTTAAAGCCTAGTGTTGGATTTAGTGCCTCCTCCCATTAGCGGTCAGCAGTTCCTACTTGAACATTCAGTAGCTTACTTATTTGCAGAGGTGGAAGTGAAATTTTGCCATGTTAAGTACAAGATGTTAATATTAACTAAAGGAAAATAATCAGAGACCTCTCCTCACATTGGTAAATCAAATATAATTGCTGGGAACAAGACAAGGAATTACAACTCAGTGCAAGGGTCAGCAGACTATGTTCAGGGCCAGAAATGATCATCTTCCTATTTTTGTATGACATACTATTTAAGAATGATTTTTACATTTGTTAATGGTTGGGGAAAAATCTTAAGATTTTATGAGGCATGAAAATCATATGGAATTCAAAATTCACATAGGCTGTGCTGATGTCATCCTTGTGGTGTCACCCCTCTTCTTTGTTCCTAAGTCCAGTTGTTTTTCTACTGGCATAATTTCTCTCAGTCATCCAGTCTTCAAAATTCTAGTTCATCTCTCTCTTTTTTTTTTTTTTAACCTTTCTTTGATTTGTTATAGTAGCTCAACTGATTTCCCACTCCTAGTCCTCAATTAATCTATTTTGTACATTGTTGCCAAAATGCTGGCTTAGTGTTGGATCTCAGGGAGATTTATCTCCCTACTCAGATGCCCTGGATGGTTCTACATTATATTATAAAGTTCTAATTTTTAAAACTAGCATAAGCCTTCCTTCATCTTATACCAGACTGCTTTTCTAACTTTGCCATTAATTTCCTTCAAGTATCCTATAGTCCAGCCAATTATTTGCTGATCCCTATGTTTTTTCCCTCACTTTTTTCCCACTCTTTAGTTGGAATATTCCCCCTTCTCATATTTTGCCATATGTGATTCTTCCTTATTTAACTTAGTGCATCTCTAGCAAGAATCTCCCCTCTCCTCCTTCTCTCCACTTTACTTCTTTCTTCTATGGAACCCCCTTTAGCACCTTACCTGAACCTTTAAATGATCTCTATCTCATTGTATTATGCATGTATCTTATTTCCCTTATTAGGTCTTAGTCTTATTCAGGAAAATGGGGTACTGTTAACAGAAGTAGGAATAGGCTGGGGAAAACAATATGTGTTTACAGAGTCAGTAAAGGTAGCCCAAGTTTAAATTCTGGCTGTAAGACTTACTAGTTTTGTGTTCTTGGGTGAATTACTTCACCTTGATAGACCTCAATTTCCTCATTTACAAGATTGGGTAATTATTATATAGGGTTGCATACTTTAAATGTAAAGGACTTAGCATAATGCCTGGAATGTACTTGGAGTGTCTGAGGCCCAAATAAATACTAATAGTTTAAGAATAAATGCTCATTCTTTCAGGGGAGCCAGGCTCTTTTCTTTTTCTTTAAAAAAGAAAAGCAGAAAAAAGATAGGAGAGGGGATAGCTAAGATTGCTGCTGTTCCCAAATTGTGTTTATTTTTTGCTTTAAGGCAATAACTAATTTTTTTAAAAAGATGAACCTATAATATTGTATCAGCCCT